AAAAAAAAAAAAAAAAAAAAAAAAAAAAAAAAAAAAAAGTCTCATGTAACCCTGTGGAGTTGAGGAAGACCTTGAACTTCTGATCCTCCTGCCTCTACCTAGAATCACTAGTGTGTGCTACTATGCCTTTATGTGGTACTAAAGACTGAACTAGGCAAGCCTCAGCCTGGAGGACAATATCTTTATTAACCCTTTCTTGATTGGGACATACCATCTTTGCCACTGCTGAGGAAGAATGAGGAGAAATCCACAGTGACCTTGTGAGACAGGCAGGCCAACACAGATGGCAAGTATTTTGCAATATGGAAATCTGAGGCTTGAGGACATTCTGTGCTTGGCCTGACTCGACTCCTGGCCTCTCACAGCAGCCTTAGCAGGACAGCGGGCCATCTTAAGCACTGTAAGGCAGTAGTAGCCCCTGAGCAAAGGCCCCTCACTCATTTTGCTGCTTCAGCATGACATGGACCAGGTGCAGAGCAGTGCACTGGGGCCTCCACGGCTGCTGCATCTGCAGACAGTCTGGCTGTCTGTGAACTGAGAGACACTGGTGCATTGTGAAGGTGGGCTCCATCTGTTTAACTGTGCCAAGGGAAGTCAGCGAAAAGACTGTCTGGAGTGGGAAGGCTGGACCTGAGCCTAGGGGCATGTGTCACCTCTCTCTATTGCTGGGGCTGCCTGGGAAGCCTGGCATCACTCCTCACAGCCCACCCTCAGATAATCACTCTCTTTGCCAGGGCTTCCTCCCTACTCGCCGCACCAAAGAAATCAAAGCCCAAGCTGAGGTATCAGAAACGTGTTCTTTTTTCTTTTAATAGTAAACCTCTTTACAACAAATATAGTGAAAGAGTTTTCAAACCAAACTCGTAAGAATCTCAAGGACTTTGTCTTTTCTTAATGTGCAGAATACTAGAAAGCATCACCGTACAGCACGGAAAGAAATAATGAAACAAATCAACAGCCACACACTTGGGCTCACCTGCCCAAGACCCAGGAGCCAGGAGTGTGGGTGATTGTCAAGTTTGGGGATGGGTCGCCTCTTGGCTGGCCCCACCCCTCCCTACTTCCCTCTCTCTGGGACTTGAATGGGGTAGAGAATTCAGATTCTTCTTGGGAATCTTAGCTCTCTTGCCCCATTAAATCTCATCCCTCTGCATAAGCAGGAGGCAGAAGGGGACAGAACCAGGAACTCCCAGCCTCCAGGAAAGCCTACATTCCCCCACAGGGGGTTCCAGAGAGTCAGTTAAAAATATAGAGATAGAGAGACTTTTAGACACTTTCACATCGTTTCCGTCTCTCCGAATAAATAACCAGCAAGAGAAGGGGCATCTTTCTTCCTTCCTGTCCGAGGGGAGGGACGTTGAGTGCACTGCTGGGGTGGAGGGAATGTGTTCCACTGAGGCATGTGGGGGTGGCCCTTGGTCCCACTGTCCCTGAAAGCCGAGGGAGATCTGGGTGGGAAGGGCACTGGATGGCGCCAGAGGCTACTTTGGCAAATACCCAGTTTTGCAGAGGAAGTGAATAGGAGGCAAATTTGGCTTGTGAGAGGAAGAAAATAAGTCCCCATTTGAGGTCTGGGTTCCCAGGGATCAATTTACCTGGCCAGCCAGAAGCCCCTACATAGCCCCAGGAGAATCCTGGAGATACTGAACTGCAGAAATGTCACATATTCACTCACAGACTGTCCCTACTGTCAGGGACAGGGATGAACACACACACACACACACACACACCACACACCTATACATGGCAATCAGAAGCCAGGTTTGCATTCGGGAAGCAGACTGCACACTGATGAGCAGCACACTGTGAACGTCAGGGGCCTCACCCCAGCTCTGTGTGATGGTGGCCACGCTCAGCCTGAGAAGAGGCCAGTGATTCCATGTTTATTGAGCACCTATCATTCGCCCATTCAGCATCTGCTGAGGGCCTACAATGTGCCAGCCACTTTTAAGGGGAGTGTATGTGCACAGGACTACACCCTGGCTCCCGTCAAGGCCTTAGGCAAGTCTTAAAAACTCCCTCTAGGAACTGTGAGGAGGGGTGAGAAGGCAGGACACATGTTTGACCGCCTTACCTGGTCAGCTACCGGGGTAAAACCCTGGGTAAAAGAGGGTTGCCTGCCTGGGAAGGCAGAGCTCCCAGGAGGAGGAGGAACTTGAGTTTGTCCACAAACAAGTCAGAACTCCAGGGTCAGAACTGGTCTGGCTAGGACTAGCAGACAGCCATAAGGAGGCAGAGCTCCCAGAGTGAGGCCCTGGTGGAGGTAGGCTGTGGGGAGAGGTGGGATGGTCAACTAGCAACTCCCTATAACTTTAGTACAAATGTTTCAGGACTGAGAGCAGCCCAGGGAAGAGGGCAGTGAGAAGCACAGAGCTGGAAGCCACCTATCCTTGTGTAAATACACCCAGCCACACAGACACAGAGGCCCCTGGAGCCTGAGTCACTTAAGATTTACGAATACACCCACTGGACTCAGAGGCACTCAAAGGTACATCCGCACAGCTGCACACAATCTCATAAATACAGGGTGCACCCAGAAACGCCCCCACGAGCATGCTCACACCCCTCTGCTTCTGGCTTCTTCCCTGCAGCAAGTGTCAAAATACTCCAAAAGGCTGGGTCACAGGTGGGCAAAGACCATCTTCCTACAGCACTGAGCATTGTCTTACTCTACCCATGGGAGTGTGTGCTGTCTCCCTTCCCCTCCCCTGGGTGCTTGCCTGCAGCCCCACTGAGGAGGCGACAAAGCACAAGCCTGGGAGAGCAAGGCAAGAACAGCAGAAGAATCCCATCTGTACAGTACGGGCCATTTGAGTCATTATTATTACAATATACTTTGACAAAAATAGAATCTCATTTCATATCAATACAACAACAACAACAACAAACACAACAGTTTCCTGGACTGTTAACCACTAACATTTTGGAAGGTTGCTATTTACAATTACAGTAGCAAGAGGGCAGGTTTGGGGCGTGGCCTGGAGGTGGAGGGACAGGAGGTAGCGAGATGGGCAAAAAAGCTGGGAGGTGGGTCGGGGCAGGAGTTAGGAGGACTGGGGAGGGGCCTCAGGGGCCGCATCAATAGGGCCCTCTAGCTCCATGGACCATGCTGTGCGCCCAGCGTGCACTCTTCTGGGTGTGGTGCACATAGCAGAGGTACCCTCCCCATGCCTGCCCCTGACAGGCCTCCTGCCCTTAATGCCCCAAGGAACCAAAGGATGACCCTGGTCCAACCTGGAGCTACTCCACTGAAGGTCCTCTCCCCAACTCTTCCAGTACATGGCCAACTTTCTAGGGCTGGGGTAGGCTGAAGGATGGGGAGCTATTGCACTGTACATCTTAAAGGAAAAGCCAGGGGTAGGGTCCCGACTTGCCACACCCAGTCCTTCTGCCCTCATCAGCCCTCTTTCTACAGCTGTCTCTCCAATGTTACTTCCAAAGAGGCTCCTACCTCAAGTCCCTGCCCTGGCCTCAGATTCCCAGGCAGCCTTCCTAGAACCCAGATCTTGGGGTGCATCACACAGGACCAGTAAGTGTGGTGTGTACGCAGGAAGCTGGAGGGACCAAGATGGGTATTAGCCATGAACAGCCCGAAGCAAAGTCTGTCCCTTCCTGTCCCTGAGACGCAAACCCAACATCAAGCCAGCTCTGGGGTTTTTGTTGTTGGATAGTTTTTGGTTCTTTACGTCTATCTGGGAATGGGATGTGAGGGCTCCACATGCAGGGCTCGGCACCTGTCCTTCTCCAAGGCCTACCCCCCCTCCTGCAGCATATGTGTACAACGTGCAAAGTGTCCCCCCCTTTCCCGCAATAAAGAGAGTCCCCCCACCAGTGAAAATGGTGGGGCCAAGAAAGGGGCAAGAGCAACCCTCTCTCTAAAGCGAGAATTCGAATTTAAAAATATAATAATAATAATAATAATAATATAATTATACACAAATGTAACCATCAACAGGACATGGAGCAGAAGAAAGGAAGTGGGGGTCGAGCGGGAGGAGCCCAGGACAGGGAGGGGTAGGCGGTGAGATTGTCAACTCTTCATCAGGGAGGCTGAGAGGAGGGAGTGGGAGCCGTCACTTTAATGTCTGTGAAGAGAGGAGACGGAGAAGGTGGTATGAGGGGCAGCTTGGCCTACAGGATGCACCCAACCCTCTCCCAAGGGGCAAAACTTTAGGGCAAGGCCAGCTGGAGGTCACTGAGCAGGGCACAATACTGCATGGAAGGAGTCAAGGGCTGTGAGTACTGACCCAAAAGGAATGCTGGCCACAAGGCCTCAGGTGGGAAAGAAAGCAGGCTGAGTGCATGTGGGACAGTCCCTGGGTGATGCAGACACCGGCAGACAGAAGGGCAATATTACAGTACCCAAGTATCTAGCCGCATCCTCTTCACAGCTGAGCCATCAGCCTCAGGCTCTGGGGCTGGGCGCAGCAGGCCTAGCGTGGGCCCAAAGTCCCCCCGTCCATCATCCCGGTCCCCGGTCTCATAGGATCCTCCAGCTGGGCTGCTGAGACCTTCACCAGGATCAGGGCGGGAAGCTGGGAACACAGCTGGCGGAGGAGGTGCAGGGCTGCGCTCACGGCTTGGGGACACTGGTTCTGACTTGATGCTGATGTGCGGGTGGGTGGTGACCGTGAGAGCAGCACCCACATGGGGCAAGGGGCTGCCTGGGCTGGAGTTCAGGGACCAGAAACACAAGAGGCAGTAACAAAAAAAGCGGGAAGTTACCAGACAAAGGGTAAGACCAAACAATGAGAGTGGGGAGTTGGGAGAAGAGGGAGACATGACACGTGGCAAAGGGGAAGAAGAGAAATGACTGTTAGCTCCGTTCTGTCTCCATCATTGTCTAAAGCCCGCACCCTCAGCCCTGCTGGATAGGAGGAAGAGCTCACTTACTGCACAGAGACTTCTGTCCCTCACCCCCACCATTCCCACAGTAAACCTCCCACAGACTCACATGAGGTTGCTGAGCGATACGGGGACCAAGTGGGGCTGTTGCTGAGGTGGCTGCTGTGGCTGCTGTGGCTGCGGCTGTGGTTGTGACTGTGGCGGCTGTGGTTGCTGTGGTTGCTGAGGCTGCTGGGGCTGTTGCCAGGCAGTGACATTGCCTAGTGCCAGTCCGGCAGGTGAGCTGAAAGCTGGTAAGGAGGACAGCTCTGCACTGGACAGCTGGTAATCTGCAGTAAGAGAAAGTGAGGGCAGCCTGAGTGGGGAGAGCAGGCGGCGTCTAACCACAGATGTGAAAGAATGAGACACTCATGAAGATGGCACTAAAGAGTCTAACACGGCACTGTTTTCTTCAGCAGGATGGAAGGATAGCGGCTTTAAAACAGCATCAGCTTTAAAGTCAGTTCAGTGTTGCTGTTATAAGGGCAGTTACAGAAATGAGGAGGGTGATGGAGAAGGCCCATTATTGGGCTGACTGCAGTCTCTTCGCTTGCCCAGCATCAGCAGGTGGCAGAGAGGCAGCCGGGAGCTCGGGGAGCCCAGGGCCGTGGCCATGCCACCGTCTGCCCTGGACCCACGTCTGCCCTCCTTCAACAGGGCTCAAGCTGCTACTCACATAAAAACAGAAGAAATGGGTCTGTCATTCAGTCCTCATGTCCCTAAAGCAAAAGGGGCTTCAGGGCCTAAGATGGGGGATACTGCATTATGGGGGTACTTGCTTTGTACTAGCACTGACATCTGCCCGTTATGTGACCAGTTAGGCAGCTCTAGTGTGCCTCATGCTGTGTCCTGGTTGAGATATTCAGAAATGCCTTCCACAAGAGCCACGGAGACGTGCACAGTGGGAGGACATGCTAGATGCATGGTTCAGTCACCCTACCTATGTTCCACAGTGAGTCCAAGCTCACTTGCTCTAGCCCTGTTTGTACAGGAAGATGGTTTGACCTCTGCAACATTCACAGCTGGAGCTATGATGAGAGACTCTTGGCAACCTCCACTCACTGTGAGATCCTGGTCAAATCCTGTCTAGAGCAGGGACAGAAAGCAACCCTTCCTGCAGCACGGCCACCAAGGGTGCGCAAGTATGCAGAAGGCATGTAGGACAGCAACAGCATCGGACTCGTACTGAACACTCCAAGATGGAGTAAGCACCACTGCTCACATGAGACAGATGCTGCAGCACCAGTGAGAGCCCCGAGTGCTTTTCCTATTGTTTTCCACAATGAAGGTCTCACACATGCTAGGAAGTACTCACCTCGCTGCTCTGCACCCAGGCCTCGCCACCTTTTATTTTATTTTATTTTTTTGAGACAGGATCTCGCTATGTAGCTCTGGGTGATCTGGAACTCAATATGTAGGCCAGGTTGGCTTTGAACTCACAGAGATCCACCTGCCTCTGCCTCCTGAGAGCTGGGATTAAGGTATGCACCACCATGGGCACCCTTTTCTAGTACCTTTAAACCTCACTTTAGCCTGGTCAATGCCAGTTACTAGCTTTCTTTTTTTTCTTTCACATTTTTGTTTTAAGTTTTTTCCCCCCTAGAATTAAAAAAATAACTTATTTTTAAGTGCATTGGTGTTTTGCCTGCGTGCATATCTATGTGACAATGTCACAGCCCTTGGAACTGGAGTTAACAGTTGTGAGCTGCCATGTAGGTGAATGAACCTGGGTCCTCTGAAGAGCAGCCAGTGCTTTTAACTGTTGAGCCATCTCTCCAGACACCTAGTTACTGGTTTGAGTTGTTTTGTTTTTCCAGACAGAGTTTTCCCTGTCTGTCCTTGAACTTGCACTGTAGACCAGGCTGGCCTCGAGCTCACTGAGTGCTGGGATGAAAGGTGTGCACCACCTCCACCAGCTGGTTACTGGTTTTTAAAGGGCAGTGTAAGAGAACTGGTGGTGGTGCACACCTTGATCCCAGCACTTGGGTGGTAGAGGCTGGTGGAGCTCTGTGAGTTCAAGGTCAGCATGGTCTACTAATGAGTTGTTCCAGAACAGCCAGGGCTACACAGAAAAACCCTGTCTCGTCTCAAAAAAACAAAATACATACGTACCAAAAAAACCAAACAAACAAAACAAAGACAAAGTGATATGAGCCAAAAGTGGGCCTTAGGACTAACTATATCTATCGAACACTATATCTATCTAACTATATCTATCTAACTATATCTGTCTAACACTATATCTAACTATATCTATCTAACACTATATCTAACTATATCTATCTAACACTATATCTAACTATATCTATCTAACACTATATCTAACTATATCTAACACTATATCTAACTATATCTATCTAACACTTTATCTAACTATATCTATCTAACACTTTATCTCTCTAACTATATCCATCTAACACTATATCTATCTAACACTATATATATATATATACATATATATCTAACTATATCTATCTAACTTTATCTATCTAACACTTATTTTATAAACAAGGAAGCTAGGCCCAGAACAGGGCAGGGCCTTGTCCAAGAACCGCAGGAAGAGATCAGAACAATCCAATCCTTCTTAGTCCTACCCCCCATCCCACCACACTAGACTGGTCTACAGGGAAGTTTATTTCCTAAGGGCCAACAGGTCAACCTCCAGGCCACCTGGTTTCTCCTCAAGCTGCTCTTGTGGTCACCACAGACAGACCTCTAAAGCTTGGGTCCACAAGGGCTAGGCCCATCTCCTATGCAGGATAACTGGAGTAGGCCACCCCAGCACTTGCTGGAGTTTGGTCTACACCATATGGGGTACCCACAACTATCTGGTGCTGATGGAAGTCTGCTTAGCTGCTCCTGAGACAACAGGAACTGAAGCCATACTACAATGATACACAGGAGTTCACGGTCGGCTCTACTGAGAGCCTGTTTCAGGTTCACCACATAAACTAACTTCCTTCCTGCTTCACAAGAGTAAGTGGGAAAAGCACAGAGAACCACCATGGGTTCTCTAACAAAGCTTCCAAGGAGATCAGAACTGTTTTTAGCCCATTCTCCCACTGGATTCAGGAGAAAGACTTCTCCTTAGCCTTGGGCAGGGAGGGTGGGGGTAGGAAAGCTAGCAGAGCCTCAGCATCCTCTCATCTACCAATACTCCCTGACAGGAGATAGGCCCACAGGCTGTCATTTCTGAAGCAGCCTTTTCCCAGCGTCAGGGAAAAGGATGCATGTGAAGCCCCCAAAAAAGAGTGACAGAGACATCTGGGCAGGAAATCTGCCCTACGGAACAGGCTGCGCCTGCACTCAGGATTTCTCCTGCTGCTGGGAAGGAGGACAAAAGGGATCACGGATACCGGCAGTGGAGGCTATACCTTCACAAGCTTCTGCGCTGAGGCCTTAGGGAAGTGGCAGAGTTTGGGGCCGTCTGGTTTAATTTATTCTCACTGCAAAAACAGTCTGAGCACAGGTCACTCAACTATGAGGGCCAGTGGTTGAGGGGGGAATGGAAAAGAGCCTCCCGACACACAAAAGCTCTGAACTAGGTGACAAAGCATTTCCCACTAGCAAGTCCTTCCTGACAGACGCAACAGAGTGAAACGCAGGCAAGGATGGCTGGGAGCAAAACACTGCTCCGGAGGAAGGTGTGCTGGCTGACAAAACCAGAACAACCCTGTGTCCTACCACAGTGCTTCTGCCCAGAGGCCTTTCCCACGTCCCGGGGGAACTGTTCACCTTTAGACCCATCCAGCCTCCACCAGCCTCAGCCTGCTTCCTGCTCACTGCTCACAGAACCAGCCCCTCAAGAGCTAGCAAATCCACTCTATACCCCCAGCCTCTTCTCTCACTCGTTCTCCCCTCTGGGAGGCCTTGCTGCACTGACCATGTCCCCTCTCTAGGCTCGAACCTCAAGTCTATTATTCTGGTGGCCACCTCTGCTTAGGCCAACTCTCTGTCCTGCCCTCACACTGGACAGGGTTACTCTTCCATAAGGACCTAGGTTAAAAATAAAAGATACTCAGTTGAAAGTAAATTTCAGATAAACAAAACATTAAAAAAATATAAAAACAAAAGAAAAAAATATAAAACTAGGGTGGGTGCTCGAGAGGCAGAGGCAGAAGGATCTCTGTGAGTTCAAGGCCAGCCTGGTCTACAGAGTGAGTTTCAGGACAGTCAAGGGTACACAGAGAAATCCTGTCTTGAAAAACAAAACAATACAAAACAACAAAAAGTATGTCTCTGGAATATGCTTTAGCACAAAGAAGGCCCTGGGATATATTTAAGACTAAGAAAGTACTTACTTTATCTGGAGTTCAAATTTACCTGACTGTTATTTCTGTTTATATACTTAAAAAAAGATTGTGTGTGTGTGTGTGTGCCACATGTGCACAGGTGCCTAGAGAAGCAAAAAGAGGATCTTGGATTCCCTGGAGCTGAAGTTACAGGTAGCAGTGAGTACCAAATGTAGGTGCTAGGAATTGAACCTTGGCTTTCTGGAAGAGCAGCAAGTGTTCCTAATTGTTGAGTACTTTCTTTAGTTCTTGTTTTATTTTATGAGACGAGGTCTCATGTAGCTCAAGCTGAACTTTAACTCCCTATGTAGCTGAGGTAACATTGCCCGAGTGCTCAGACTACAGGCAAGTGCTACCACATCTGGCTTATAGTGTGCTAGAAACGGAACCCAAGGTTTCATGCCTGCAAGGTAAAGACCTTATCGACTGAGCTACACCCCCAACCTGGCATTTTGTTTTTATTTGTTTGATCTACTAACCACAACACTAATTAATGGAGGCCCCTCCCGCATTCTAATTCTCCTTCTCTGGTCACTCATCTGCTCTAAGTACAAACGGACAACTTACCAAGTTATAGGAACGCTCACCTGTGTTGTAGGCAGTGGGCATGGAGGAGAAAGGGAGGCCCTGGCTGAGTAAACTTGGTGTTGCCACGGAAACCACTGGGGTGGTAAGCGAGTGGGTAGACTGGGAGACCCCAAGGCGCTGGGCATTGTTCTGTAGGAGAAAACTGTTTGTCAAGAGATGGCAGATGGGAGGCTTGCCTCAAGGAGGTCCACCACACCACATCTGAGCCAGGTCCCCGAGTTCGAGGGAAGGTACCATAGCACGAAGGCCCACAGACACACACAAGTTGGTGTGTTTGGAGAGCCGCAGACTCAGAGTAAAACATGCACACGGATTCACTTGTATCTGCATCCATGCAGAAAGGAAGGCATGGCTACCGCACAGAGCTCAATACGAACACTGCCTGCTCCTGGGTGGAGGGGAAGAGATGTGGTCTCCTCTGGGCTAGGACCACTGAGGTCTCCTCTACACCCGTTACAGTAGCAGATGCCCCAGAAGTGTATTCTGGCATCTGTGAATGGAATGCGCTATCTGGGGTGGCATGTGATTGCATGTATGCACACACGTGTGTAGAGCTGTCAGCTCCATCTGCTGCTGAGTCACTTGTTTATTCCAGCTCCACGCTGGGGCCGAAACTGCCGCTGTGTTGGCCGCCAAAGCCTGCTTGCCTTTTCCAGCCTTTCTGGCCTCCTGTCAGCAAGTTGGGGAGGGAGCACCCTCCTCTTTCCTGGCTGATGGTGCATACGTAAGCACAGGGAGGGGCTGTGTATGTCTCTAAGTGCCTGGGAGATGGGCTCAGGGTAGGAGCTAGCAAACAGGCAGGCAGGGAAGTCCTTGCTAACAACAACTCTAGTCCTGCTTCAGGCCTCAGCTTTCCCCCGAAAACGGCCTTTCTTAGATTTTCTTGTAAGGATTAGGTCTGTCTTGGGTTCCAATGTTACATGGGCCTATGTGGAATCAGATAGCCAGAGGGATCCAAGGCTCAATCCAGACATCTCAAAGGCCTGGGGATTGCCTCATGCTCTTTTCCAGATGCACACACATACGTGTGTCTAAATAAATGCAGTAACACATAGACACCCATGCACACACACATACACATGCACACCATGTCCAGCCCTTCCCGCCGCCCCATTCACCTCAGTGTCCCAATCAGCTCTAAGCACAGCTCCTGAGGCCACACGTGGACACACAGGGAGAAGACGGCCACACAGACTCATCATGCTGCAAACTGCTAACACTGGGCAAAGCTGGAGCCCAAAGGCACTGCTATGTCTCAGCCGCACTTACCAGATCTAAATGGTCCTCAGTCTGGGAGCAGAAATAAAACCAAGAGGATGTTCAGGCTATGGCTTCTGCCCTTCCCACACAGCCACCCCATCCACCTGTCTGTCTGAGAGCAGAGTGTTCTTTCTGGCAATCTGATATCCAGAAAATGCTGTATCCTGGCCTCTACCAGTCAGACATTGTGAACTAGTCCTTACTGTCATCCTGCAGTGTGAATTCCTTCATCATCCTCTCCCCACAGAACCTCTGCTCCCATCTCCTGCTCATTTCTCTACCCTCTGGCCAGCACCACCGTATTCCAAAGGCCCCCAGGGAAGAAAAAGTTCACAAAATACTATACTCTCTCCCTCTCTCAATCTCTCTCTAAGTCCCACATGTCTAACCTTCATTTCTCTTGCTAGAGGTCACTCTTTTCTTCCCACCTCCCAGTCCCTGCCATGGCCCAGAAACCCACTCACCAAATGATGCATTAACCCTTTGCCTCCCTGGGAAGTGATGACCCGCAGATCAGGCTTGCGGCTGGGGGCTCCAAGCTGGGTGTTGTGGGTGGGTGGGGGCGGAGACTTGGCAGGGATGACTTTGTTTAGGCTGTTGCCATTGGCCACAGGGAGGAGGCCAGGGGAAGCTCGGGCGCTGACGTAGCCATTCCCTGGAGAAGTGAGAAGAGGACAGGAAAGGCTGGCTTGTCTGCTGTCCCTGTCAACTGCCCCATCTCTGTCACTTGGAGGCTCTCAGAGGCACGCCAGGGTTCGACATGTGCACTGAACTGCCTAAAGTCAGCTTCTAAGTCAAAGTGATAGGGCCAAAGGTATAACTAAAAAGCAACCACTGTCACTGCCAGCCCTGGGCACATAAGAGCACTCGGATCCCTCCATCCACTTCACACAGGACAAACAACGACCAGAGTGGAAATAGGTGGTAGGCTATGATCTGTTCTTCACCTAGCAGCCTGATTAGAGCTAGCCAACCATTTAGATTGTTTCCTTGTCGGGAGCTAGAACTCTGTGCTTTTCATCACCACAAGGCAGGCCACTGGCTGCTGGTAATGGTGTTGCCAGCACTAGGGGCTGATGATAGAGTCACTACCATAACTAGACTGGGGATAAAAGCATCACGACTATCGTTTATATTTGCTCTGTACTCTCCAGGTACAGGCCTTCCACACACAGAATCATACGTGTTCATCAGTCCTGGGAGGTGCGTGGGATGGGCATTATCAGTTCTGGGCAGAGGAGGAAGCATGGCACTAGGTATGATGACTTGCCCAGGGCATCTCACTGAGTTCCCAATGCTGGGCTCAGGGCCCATGAGCAAGGAAAGGAGGGTTTACCTCTAGTACCTCATCTTTGACTCCAGTGCACAACTATGCTGAGGCACCCTCATAGCCGTCCATTTTACACAGGAGAGGGGTGGCACTTTGGCTAAGACTGAGCTGGAGGAGTCTAAGGGTCAGGAATGTAGGCGGTGACTATAGTATGAAACCACACCTTGCTCTGTCCCGATAGTACACGGTTACAACCCTCAAAGTGTGTTACTGTCTCTGTCCCAACTCCAAGATCACTCTGGGTACGGTAAGAATGACAGGGTGACGTCAATGGTGACATTAGAAGGTCACCGGCCAGACATCAGCACAGATCAAGAGTGGCTGGAAGTGGCTGGGCACAAGGGCTGCAGTAGCCTTTCTGTGACTCTGGTATATATGCCCACAGGTACATATCTGTACGGTGACTCCATGGGAACACAGAGCCCGTGTGCATGGGTGGGACATGTATGCCTACCATTTATCTAGGCAAGTCCTGATCCCAACAAGATGCCCCATTTAATCTGAAAATGCTGGACCGTGGTCAGGCATGGTGATACACGCCTTTAACCCCAGTACTCAGAAGGCAGAGGCGGGAGAATCCCATGAATTTGAGGCCATCTGGGTCTATATAGCAAGTTCCAGGACAGCCAGGACTCCATAGTGAGACCGGTCTAAAAGAAAAAAAAAGGGTGTGTGTGTGTGCTGACCCTTCCACTTCAACAGCACTGTGAATGTGAACCCATCCTCAGCTTGCCTGACATTCTTCAGACCCACACCTCTGCGGACTAAGTCACTGCTGTAAACACCAAAATAATGCAGGGGCCTAAAAATCTTCTGGTGCATCCTGCTCAGGCACGGCCATCTCCTCCCCTGCCACCCTGTGGAAGGCAGCTCCACTCACCCACGGGACTGGGGCAGGCACCATTAGCACTGTTGAGGTCTCCACCCAGCATGGCTCCTGCGAGGAAAGCAGGGGTACCATGAGCTTTATCTCAGGACTGGACAAGAAGAGGGGACCCTGGGGAGTCCGGGCTTTTCCCCTCAAGAGTCATAAACATGCAGGAATGCTGTGAAGGGAAACGGAAACCCAGAGGCCCTTCCGCACCTCCCTTCCACCTCAGCAATTCACCATCCAGACTACTTACCTGCACTAGCAGGTCGTTGAGGCAGGCCCGGAGAAACACTGTTTCTCTGTAGTGCTGGCTGCTGGGGGGACAGGAGCCGTGGGTCCGTAAGGGATGACGTCACCAGGGAAGGAGTGACCAGAGAGCCGCTGGGATTGCTGAACTGCATGGAGCTCTGATTGGACACGGGCACTGTGACAGGCATGGCAAAGTTGGGGGCCGGAACAGATGACTAGACAAAAAGACGGAGGGCAGCGTCACACCAGGTGAACCTCTGCCCTGGACCCATTTTGCCCAAGAGGGTAGGCACAGGGTTCTCTGGTTCGTGGACTGTATCTCCAAGGGTCAGCAGCCTGGGTTCCCTGCCTTCAACCCTTTGTAGCCCTGCCTGCCTCCCATCAGAAATAGCAGTATAGCTCTGGTCCAAGGCAGGAGAGCAAGGCTCTGCCCACTGCAGACAGGACTGGATACCCCCAGTGGGTTAGTCCTCAGCCAGGCAGGACACACTGGGAGCAAGTTAGTGCCCTGGGTACAGTCCCAAACTCACACACTGCTTGAGACCATGGCTTCACTACGCGGCCACCCACCATACGGCCTGCTTCAGGAGCAGCTCATGCCCACCTCCCTGCCTTTGCTTAGCAGTTCAGCTTCCTTTAAACAAAGCTGAGTGCCTTAGGCAGGGATGCCAAAACAGCACAAGGGGGCCTCTGCCCAAAACAACAGGACAAAAATCCCTCTCAAGACTCATGATATCTGCAGACTTTCTGCTGGTGAAGGGACACTGACTTATCTCTCTAGCTTAGGCAAGAACTTTACAAAAAGAGGGTTATCAAGACCAAGGTCAGGAGTTTCTCAGTGGTCAGTACCAGCTCAAGGATGGCTCAGCCTAGTACACCCATGAGAGGCAGCTGAGGGCCGGGCAAGGCTGGGTGAAGCCACACCATGCAGCACAGGAGGCTCTCCTCCATGCGACTACTCACGGCCAGTCTATAACTCTGCATCATCTTATCAAATTCCTCGTCTATCTTTTTATACTTCTCCTCCGTCTGGGGGGTCAGGGCAAACGCCTCGTCCACCTCAGGGCTCTCACATTCCCTGTGCTTCTTGTGCAGCGCCTGGGGGAAGGGCCGGAAGGGGACCAAAGAAAAGGTGAGGAGGGCTCACCCCATAGCGCCTGAAGAGCCCATCCAGTTCCTCACTGGCCCGCCGGTACTTGTCCTCCAGCAGGGGGCTCTGCTCCAGTGAGTCCTCCCCATCCGGCTCTGGGCTGTCACAGCCGTTGAAACCCTTCTTCCTCAGGGTCTGCAACCGCACCACTCAGTCAGCCAGCCAGCAATGGTCCTCCTGCCTCCTCCAAGCTCCTCCCAAGGATCCCAAGGTTCTTCTCCAACCTGTTCTCCCCTGGCTCCCAGAAGCTCCAGTCCCTCCCTCAGAGCCATCCTCCCCGCCTACAATGTTTCTTTGGGGCCCTGAGTGAAGTGGGACCTAACCTAGGCACGGGGCAGGTATGTTCCACAGCTCCATCTAGGAAGAAGGGGGCAGGGGACCCTGTCCATCCAAACCCCCAGGTTCTACTTAGGTGAGAGAACTGGATGGAAACAGGAAAGGATGATACAGGAAAGCACTTACTGCGTTTTTTGCTCTATACTACCCGAAACTACCCAGAGACCAAAGCCTTGCACATGGCCTTAAAGTGTACCTGCAGCAGACACAAGTACTTGTGGTTGCTCAAAACTTTAAAGATACCCGTTTTATATTTTTTTCAAATCATGTTTATTTATTTACATGTGTGCACGTGCACATGCCATAGCACATGAATGCACGTCAGAGGACAACCTGCAGGCATTGGTTTTCTTCCTTCCACCACAGGGATCCTGAGAATTAAACTCAGGCCATTAGGCCTGGCAATAAGTGCTTCTATCTGCTAGGCCATCTCAACAGCCCTTGCTTCATTTTAACTTTTATTTACTATTTTCTTTCCAAGACAGAGTTTCACTGTGTATCCCTGTCTGTCCTAGAACTAGCTCTTGTAGACCAGGCTGGCCTTGAACTCACAGAGATCCGCCTGCCTCTGCCTCCTGAGTGCTGGGATTAAAGGCGTGCTCCACCACTGCCCAGCTTATTTTATTTTTTCTAGTTTATTTCATGTGTATATGTGTTTTGCCTGCGTGTATGTTTACCAATGAGTGCCTGGTGTCTGCAGGGTTAGAAGAGGTTGGCTCCCCTGGAACTGGAGTTACAGGCAGTTGTGAGGTGCTATGTGGGTGCTGGGAACCAAACAGCGGTCCTCTGGAAGAGCAGCCAGTGCTCTTAATCTCTGTACTCCAAATTGGCACCCTAGAGCATGAGCTGGCTGTCTCATTCAATCACAGAACACCCTTGTAAGCCGGCACTGTTCAGGCTATGGAGGAGGCCACAGCTCAGAAGTCAAAGCACCTGCCTACGGCCATGCGGCCAGTGGAGAGCGGGGTGAGCCCAAAGCTCATGCCCTTCGACATTTCACATTATGACTCTGAAACAGAAGGCAAGAGCCACACAGACCCATAAAGTCATGGGACAGAAAGGAGATATGGGAACAAAGAGGGATACACAAAAAGGAATATCCCAGAGGATGAAGGAAGGAGGCGCTAAAGAGAGAGCAGAAGACAGCAGGATGCTCCTCAGACCCGGCAGGCCAGACTGCCCAAGTCGAGCTGAGGCCTGGTACTGGCTACAAGTCTCATGCCTTCGCTCCCTTGGGCCTGGGCTCAGGAGAAGAGGGAGGTTACACACAGGCGCACCTCTATGATGTCAGCATTGGTGCGGCTCTCGTGCGGCTCGTTGTACTCCGTGTACTTGAGCAGCACCTTGTCCATGTCGGTGCTGGCGTACTGGAACAGCTTGTTGGAGTGGTTGAAGATGATGAGCGCGATCTCGCAGTCACACAGCACGCTCAGCTCGTACGCCTTCTTCATCAGTCCAAACTTGCGCTTGGTGAACGTCACCTGCAGGAGAGTAGAGGGCGGCCAGGTCTGACAAGAGTCCCTGTGCCCAGAGATATCTGGACATAGTCCCTACCATAGAGTTCCACTCTCAGGGTGACTCAGCCACTCTCTATGGGAATCCTTTATCTAAAAAAGAAAATGGCATCCCTTGGCCAGACCACAGCCAAGACACACCAAAACCAGCCTCAGATGGGAAAGGATTTCGATGGCCAGGAGGCCTCATCTCTGTGCAGCAGGCTGAGAGGAGCAGCAGAGCTCCCAGGTGAGGAGAGGGATGATTCGGCAGTGGGGTTAGGGCCCCGGCCCATTGCAGAGCGGCAGAGGGAAGGAGGCACACGAAGGTGCCCCTCTCTCCACTCAGACCCACCTCTCTGTCACAGCCTCCAGGAGTCCCTAACTTCCAAGAAAGCCCTCTTGTAGAACTGGTCATGGGTGACAGAAGCTGGCTCCCTGCCCTTGCTCTCCTACCACATGGGGCTCTGAGATTTCCTCACCTGGCGGTTCCGCTCATCAGTGATTCGCTGGATCTGAATCTTTTTCCTCCCCATCTTCTCTGGGGGGTCCTTAGTGCCAGAGAGGAAAGGGCTGCTGGGTGGTGGTCAGGAGCCTCACACTGTGCTCATGAATGTCTGGGCCTATTTCATGGTCTGTAGAACACCTGTGAACAGGCTCCTAGGAGAGAGAGTCATAAGGACTGTTAATGAGCCCCCAGCTTTGTTGCTTGAGATGTGGGCCAGGCTCACTACACCCGTAAGAGGCTAGTGGCATCTCTGCCCCATCCCCAAATTGTGGCAATATTTTCTAGAGAGGAAATGTGCGCCCCCCCGCCCCCCAATACCAAGTGCAAGTTGGGCTCCCCCTGGACCAGCACTTGGTCAAGGCTGCTTCCCCAAGTCACTGCTCTTCTTGAGCTCTGGGTCACACAGAAGGTCCTGTTCTCTGTAGAGTCTGGGTGTACTCTGTTGTATTCCCCCCGCCATCTCCTACCCCACCCCCTGGACCAGTGGAGGCTGCTATGCTTGAGCCACAGTGAGAACAGACTGAAAGCAGCAGGCAGAGAGAGGATGTCTGCTGCCCCAGTTAAGGTTGGTGGCAGGATCCTTACATGGACCAACCTGAGGACAGTGGTGTTATAGAATGCCCACTCCAATCAGAGCCCAAGTAGGTTTTTGTTTGGAGGGAGGATGTCCTGCTGCTCAGACACAAACTAACTACTCTAGGTCGGAGGCAGCAAACCTGTTTTCCCTAACCCCTCACCTCGAACTGGGGACTGAACCCAATGGCCCTGCACAGGCCCCCACTTTCACTTACTGAGCTAAGTCTTGCCAAGTTTCCCAGACTGCCTTTAAATATGTGATCCTCTTGCCTCAACCTCCCGAGAAGCTATAATGACAGGCCTGCACCACAGCTAAGTCTGGAACATAGGGTTGCCCACTTTCTAGGTAAGTGCTCCAGCACTGAATTCACCCCACTCCAGGCAGTGTTTCTGTGAAGGGCCAGAAATCAGCACTGCAGCTTGTAAACTCTGTGGCCACTTAGCTCCACGGTAGGAGCCTGGCTGACATGAAGGAGACAACAGGTTGTGGTGACACACACCTTCGATCCTAACACTCAGAAGGTAGAGCAGGTGGGTCTCGGTGAGTTGAGGCCAGCCTGGTCTCCAGTGAGAGCCCTGGCTCAAAACAAACAAACAAACATAAAAATAAATCACTGAGAGGGGCAGCAGGAAATACACAAGTAGGGTGCTCTGGGTGACTAAAGAGAGTGCTTTAAATCTAAGAGCCCTTGCTGGTCTTTGTAAAGGACCTGGGTTCAGTTCCCAGCACCCATTTGGAAGGTTACAAACGTCTCTTTATTTTCTTGGGGTGGGGAGGGAGTGAGGGTGAGCAAGGTTTTTCTGTGTAATAGATCTGGCTGTCCTGGAACCTTCGCTGTAGACCAGGCTGACCTTAAACTTGGAGCGATTCCCCCTGCCTGTCTCCCAAGTGCTGGGATTAAAGGTGTGTACCACCACCACCATCACCACCTGCCCTACAAACGTTTAACTCCTGTTCCAGGGGATCTAAGCCGGTCATCCGGTCTCCACAGGCACTGCACATACATGGTAAAAAGACATACTAACAGGCAGGGAGGTAAGGGATTCCTCCGCAACAGCTGGGTGCCAGCGGATTCTGAGCATTCGAACCTATGCCTTTCTAGCTTATTCTACAAGGCCTGGAGGTTACAGAGTAAGCGAAGTTCACTGGGCACCCGACTAGGATGAGGTGGGGGGTGGTGGAAGGTCTCGACCTGCTTAGGATCACAGATCACATGACCATATCTCAGGATTCATTGTCTAGCTTCAACTCTGCCTAAATATCAACAGAGAGTATCCCAGCCCCTTCCCTTAACCTGGAAGAAAGTGTCTTGTCTGCATGTATGTACGGTCACCAAAAGAGGAGCTCCATAGTCCCTGGCCTACTGCCCACCCTCTCTCTACAGCTCAGATCAGCAGCAGCCGAGCCCTGCGTGATCCAAACAAGCAGCAGTCACCTCTCCTGGCCAACTCACTGCAGAAGCCCAGCTGGAATTTCCAGACTTTACCCCTAACTCTTAGGACCATCCACAAACTGCCTCCTCACTGGCCTGGGCAGGTGGGGCAGCACACTGGGGCAAGGCCTATGGTAAATTGGCCTTTTTAGGGTTTGTGTAGCCCAGCCTCACTCGGGAACTCCAATCCAAACCCACAGTGCAGGGTCCCCTTTCCTATCTCCTCTCACCACTGCAGCCCATGAACAGATTCTTGATGACAGAACCTGTCTCCTGCTTATGGCCCGTGCTGGCTCCTCAGGCGGGGGGACGTGAACTGTCCCAGTGTTTTCAGTTTTCCAAACAGCGAATCTAACCATCTTTCTAGCATTACAATCTCTAAATAACCGTGTTCTCTTCTGTGCCTAGCTCCCCCAAGGATGGAGCCTCTTGAAGGCAGGAACCAGATCTGTCTTTTTACTATGCTATTGCCTGTAGGAGGAACCCAGAAAATACCCAAGCAAACACATATGAGCCTGTGAGAAGTCCCTCCTGCCCTGCAGTCTAATCTCTGTCCATCCTGCTGTCCTCACTGTCCTCTGCAGGGCTAGAGCCTTCTATCAGCTGCCCTCAAGCCACCGCTTGGGAACCACTGACCCTCCAACCGACTCTGCCGCTCTCACCCTCATCCCTCTCTACACTCAGTGCGGCTGGTGCAGAGGGTGAGACTCTAAGTCTTCTAAGGAGCAGCCCTGAGCACATGGAGATGGAGAGGATGGGGTTGCTTAGGCAACTGTCGCCTGGCAACCAGTTCCCTGGCTGATCTCCTATACTGCCCCCCCCCATCCATGCCGCATGCTGGGGGAGCTAGGATATGAGAGAGATCATGGCTGAGAAGGCAGGGAAGCCAGAGAGACCCAATGAGTATCCTTTGACAGGGAATCTGTCTAAGAGGTCAAGCCCCTGCAACCCTCACTCCCTCTATACTAGCTCAGCCATTTATAATAATCCCATGCCTCCCAGGTCTTGCTCAGACCCTGCTGTGGGCAGTCCTTCCTCCCAGCTAACCACAAGCTCTTTTACAAAGCAGGCTCTATACCCTCTGCTGTGTGCTGCACATTGCTACAGATTCTCTGAAAGCCCTGGGGCAAAGATGTGAGCTCAGTCCTGGTTCTCAAAGGGTGGTGTCTGGGTAGAGATGGCCACAAAGGACCACCCAACCTTCCCACTTCATCAGAAGGTTTTAACAAACACCTGGACCTGTTAATCAGTCCTCTCTTCAACAGCCTAACTAACTGCCAGGAGCCAGAGGCCTGGGCATCTGCTCTCCTGATGCAGGCTCTCCTCCTGCCTGGCCTCGTCAGCCCCTCTTCTCTCATGTCCTGGCCTTCGGGCTGCTCTTTTTTCTTTTTCTTCTTTTTGAGGGTGGAGATGAGACAGGGTCTCTCTGTGTAGCACTGGCTGTCCTGGCACTCATCCTGTAGACCAGGCTGGCCTTGAACTCAGAGCTCCGCCTGCCTCTGCCTCCCTGTGGTGGGACTAAAGGCACATGCCACTGCCCAGATTGGGCTGCTGCTCTTCTAAGCCTAGTCTGCAGCTCTTGGCACACACGCTGAGTTGTCGGGGCCCCAGGCCTTCCCATCCCAACCTCAGGCCACAGCTGTGCACAGCAGCGCCCCTAAGCAGATTCTAGCTGGGCAGGGTGGTATTCCCAGCAGGACAAGACAACAGCAGAGGAAAGAAGAAAGCCCTGGCTGGTGGGATCTGTAGGGAAGCCAATGCAGGGTGATGGTGGTGGGCAGCTAGGACCCTATGGCAACTGTGCACTGTTTATACGCAAAGGAGGGACAGGTGAAAAGCAAAGGGGCACTGGTGTGAAGGATCATGGGAGAATAGGCTCTTGTCTCCCTAATGTTACACCTCTTGGTACCTGAGCAATAGTCAAACCACTCTGAGGTTTCAGAATCAGGCATCTCAGTTCCTGTGTGAGGGGCCTGGGTAGAGATGGGAGTGGGGTCAGGACTGGGTTCCTGAGCCACTGCTGAAGGGCCAGGCAGGAGCACTCTTTCTCCACAGTCTCCATTCTCCCTGGCTCACACAGCCCGGTTGGCTGCTTTCTCAGACGCTTCTGTGTCTCAGAGCACTGTGTCCTGGTTGCCTGAGGCTCTAAAAAGCTGCATCTGACCCTGGAGTCCTATACCAGCAGACTCCAATGGAGCAGAGGCCAGAAAGGCCAAGCTCTGGGCTCCTCCTGAAGCGAGTGGGAGACAAGGAGAGATCTGCTCTCATTAGGCGGTCCCCCTCCCTTCCAGGCCGCTGGGGGGCCTCAGGCTGCACTGCAGACAGCTGTCACCCTCCTCCACCCTCTCCCCTAGGGCTGCAGGGCATGAAATAAGCAGCAGGCGCTGGGGGAGGGGGCGACAATCCAATCCACCTGTCACCCCCATAGTCGGGCAGCCTGCTTGCTAGTGGGAGGAGGCGTGGGCAAGGTGAGGACAGATGCACAGACACAGGAAGGAGACAGAAAAGGGCCAGTGAGGCAAAGGCACGGGGCTGGGAGAGCAGCTGGGCTGGGCAGCTGAGGGTACCCTAGCAGCCTGCCCTGGGGGCATTCTTCAGGCCTCTCCTCTCCTCCCTGCCCCAAGCTAACTCCCTTCTCCAGAGTTCCCAACAGCACACCAAAGCGCAGGTCCCACGCCTTCTAAGTTCTGTCAGGCTGATTACCAAAAACCCTGGTTCCCACCATGTCCCATCATCCCCTCCCCCAGTCAGCAGCTTGGGGCTTGGCAGGGGCTATTTTTAGCCTGGGCAGTGAGCTAATTATAACTCACCAACAGGGGACCTGAGGGCGGGCTAGGGGGCAGTCCAGGAAAGCAGAGCAGGGAGGGGTGGTCTCAGGCACTGTGACCTGTAGCGACAGAAACTGACTTGAGGAGCACCAAGCAGAGCTAGGAGCCTTTCCCTAACTTCCCTTGGGCAATTCTCCCATACTCCACCCTCAGCTTCCCACCTCTCCTGTTTAGCAAACCTCTTGGGAAAGTGTCATCCTGTTTTCTCCATGAGGGACTGTCAACTGTGCCCTACTCCCTGTCCTTCCTGCGGTCTAGCTCCCATTCTTCCTGTAGCAGCCGAGGCCTTGGGGCTCCCTGTGCCTCCTCCCACCC